ACAACAAAATTTCCCTCTGCACTCTTGAAATTCCCTTTGGTTGGAATCTCTTGAACCCAAAAAAACCATCCGAATAACCCGTCAACATTGGATGCATCTAATCTTGAGAAATCTGTGCCTTTCAAATATTTGAAATTCATCAGCAATTTGGAAAATGAGATCCTTAATGTTTCTATGGAGAGAGAGACGATGAAGCTTGAAGTGATGAGGGCCCAAGCCATGATTAACATTCTTTAATCGCGTATTGATCTTCTGAACAAGGAAAACGAGGACTTGAGAATCTCTCTCATTTGTCTTCTCTCTTTTTTCTTTTTTTGGTTTCAGACTCTCTCTCTCTGTCTTATAAAAAATGGAGCCAAAATACATTCGAAGTGGTCAAATCATAATTTTGTGCTCTCTCTCATATTCTCTCCCAAGGACCATTTCAATGGCTTCCAGAGAACAAAGCAGCCCCCAGGCTGAGAATTGTTGTAGGTAAGAACTGAGACATTCTCAGTTCCAAAATTGAGAATGTTCCAATTTAAAATTGAGAATGATTTCAGTTTACAAAAATATCCAGTAAAATTGAAAAAAATTTCAATTTTTCTGTGTTAAAACTGAGAATATTATCATTTGTTCAATTTCAAACTGATAATATTCTCAATTTTAAAACTATAAAAAATTGAGAAATTTCTCAGTTTACACATCTTGAAATTAGGAAGCAATGAAGACTTCTATTTTTTCAATTTTTGCATTTGCTTCTATATGTGGTCCATGGTGGAACAGTGCTTTTTGGTTGCATGCTATTCTACTAGTTAATAAACTCCTTTATGACATGCACCCTCTATTTAGTGCTTCTATTTTAGCTAAGATGATTAGACTTGACGGCTTATCCACAATCTCTGTATTAAGTGGTGAATCTCTATCTGCTGAGTTGGCTCATGGAAGAAGTGGTCAGCGGCATCGGCGAAGAAGGCGTCGCCGGTGTTGGTGACAGTGATACCACGGCGGTGGCAGGCGTGAGGTCAACGTGGTCGAGGTCGGTGCTGGAGTCGATGATGCATTGGACGGAGGAAAAGGAGGAGTCATACGGAGGAGACCAGAGACTGGGTCTATAGAGAGGAAGAGAGAGAGAGAGAGAGTCTGTTTGGTTGTTGTTGTTGTTATTGGGGAGTAGGTGTAAGAGTGAGAGAGAGAGAGAGAGAAAATGAAGACATTAATTGTTTGGTAGCGAGGAGGTCTTGGAAGGGTAAATTGGTCTATTAAAAATTAATGGGGCTTGCAGGAGAAAATAATTTTATATAGGACTGAATGGATTATAAGTTTACAAAATGAGACTTGTATGTAAATGCCAAAAAAAAAAAAAAATTTAAATGAAAAAACTGATAATATTCTTAGTTTTAAAACTGGAAAAAAAATTGATAATTGTTCTCTATTTATTGGATAGTTGAATCAAACCAAAAAGTAGAATAACAAAAATGTTTAATCTCATGTTCTATTTTTTTTAATCAGTTAGTTAAACAATAATCTGGAACATTACTACACAAAATTGATAATGTTCTTAGTTTTAAAAATTGAAAAAAAAAACCTGATAATACTCTCAGTTTTACTAAATAACACTTATTGGTTCAAAAATCTTAGACGGGACTTGAGCTATCATAACATTTGTAAATAGGACTTTTAGATAATTAACTCTTTTATATATTTTATTATATGTCATATATATGAATATAACATTCAAGATAATAAAAAAAAATACAATATGCCTTAATTCCTATAAATTTGGTTTTTGTTTTATTATTATATCTTAAATTGTTTTGTTCAAACTTATAATTAGTTTCACATGCGTCTAATCAATAGATACGTGTATTTAAGAGATACACACGTGTGTCCTCCAAGTGTTCAAAAAGTGTCCGGGTTTTTAAAAATATTAAAACATAGGACACGTTTTGAAGAGTGCCAAACACGTATCGGAGAAGTGTCCAAAGAGTGTCGATGTTCGACACGGACATGACACGAATAGATCACCTTCTTAAAAGTATCCGTACTTTTTAGATATTAACTATATGGGAAAATTACAACATTTTCAGAAAATATAATAAGATTTAAATTTGAAGCAGAGAATATTATGAGTTATAACAATAATTATCATTCCTTATGTCCAAGGGCAGAGGCAGCATGGGGCCAGGGGGTCACATGCCCTCCTCAGTTTTGAATTTTTGAATTTTTTTTTTTTTGTTATTGCCATGTATAAAATGTATTTTTTTTCTTAACATGTTCTTTAGCTAAGGATTTATTATATTGTTCATAACAAGTAATTATTTGATACTTTAGAAACACTATGTGTTATTATTTATATAATAGTTTAAATCAATTGTAGCGAAAAATATTATAAATTGGAATAAATAACTCATTATTTTCAAGTAATTGAAATACCATTTAGTGTGATTTGTGATTTTCTATGCTTTGAGCATCATGTAGGTAACATCATATGATACTTAAAACTGTTTA